CGAAGATAAAATTAAACAAGAAATTAAAAATTAATCTGCTGGTGGGTATGCACAAGATGATAAAACCTAATATTTGCCTGTCAAATACTAAATTTAATTAATCCAAAATATCTATGAATAATTCTGGTTTTATGTCCACCATTAATTCTCTTATCAACGTATCTTTTCTTTTTCTTTTTAAATCGCATCCGTCATGTATCTTTCAAGTTGAACAAATTGAAGACCAATATCCATGTATGTATATCTGACATAAAATGTTTTATACACACACATATATATATATATATATATATATATATAAATGATATTCATGATTTATATTATTAATGTTGGGAGCAAAAATCTTTTTGGGATTTTGATGGATGGTCCAAAAACTTCATTCAAAAGGAAATTGAATTAATTCATGCATGTCTGACCAGGGCATTATTGTTTGGTTAATTACTTGTCACTTTCTTGAAATACTTTCTGCTTCTAATTATTTTAAATATTAATTTTCAAAATAATACTATTCAATAAGAGAGTTTTGAAAACCCTCGTGATCATCCTCGTCCATCATTTGTGAATGTCATACGAATTAGGGGGATTCAGTGTACATATATATATATATATATATCTCAAGACCAAAAAAATAAAGAAATATTAGATATATGACGAAAATTCGTATATTAAATTAATTATAAAAAAATTTGGTAGTACTGTCGTGTCGAATATTGTTCTAAAGAAGTGGACGTATGTATGTATAGGCTCCCAATTTTGACTGATAAAATAAATGTGCGAACAACTTGATTTTGATAAATTAAATTTACGATTTATGGGGCATGCATTTTCTATTTACTAAATTTACGTATACCAACCAACTTAACAGTGATTATAGGTGTAGGTATAGGTCGCAAAGGCAGGAAGATCACAGATGTGTGTATAGCTGGAACCTTCATGGGGGTTATGGCGGCCAGCTTCACATTTCTATATACATATTGAAAATGCACGTTTTAAAATTGGTTTGCCAGAATTTCCTGACTCTGATGATGAGAATACATTCAAGTATATATTCCGACTTATATGAATATTTTTCTCTGGGTCACCCAGATCTCAAATTCTACCTCCATTACCAAACCTAAAAAGCTTACAATATAAATGCTGTGTATTATATGTAAAAATCAAATCACCCGAGTTATCGTATTGTACTTAATTTAAATTTAGTGAGCAGTATATATATAATAATATCGTGTATATCTATATATATATATACATGCACGGAATTGATGAAGCTGATAAAGTTCTGATTTTTTTTAAGAAAAAAACGATAAAAGATATTTGATGAAATGTGGTCAAAAGTTAATAAATGCCGGATAATAATTATATTGGGTACACTAATACACTGGCATGGCTGACCAGGAAAATCCACCGTCCATGTTATTGATGAACCTGATCTCTTGTTGTGATCATGCGATTTTGACAATTAATGAGATTAAGAACTCTTGACTTTCCGCATTGCATGCATGCATGCATGCATGATATATACATATATATACACACACACGCTTTAACTATATATATATATATATATAACATAAGTTACTGCAAATCTGAGAGTTATAACATCATTTTTTAAATGTTGAAAAAATGTCAATATTTACAAAATTCCGAATTATTTTAACAATTTTGGTATTAAATTAAGAAAAAAAAAAACAACCTTCTTGTGGAATTGAAGCTTTATTGATGAGTGTTACAACTTAACAATTCAATCCAGAGGGGCCAAACTGTCCCAATTCAATGATTTTTACTACACTTAAAACAAGATAAATTTACTGTACCATGCCTGGGCCACTACTCTAATTCCACATGGCATTCAAATTAGTTAACGTTAATCACTGCATGCATAAATTATTATGTACATACACAATGCATGCACGTGTGTGTATGTGTCCATTATCACTGCGGCTTGGCACGAGCTAATTAACCATACTCTGAAACCGAGTATGCCATAGTCAATATTCAACCAATATGGGAACAAACATTCACGATATGAATTTCTTTCCATACATTAGCATCTTCATAATTTTCACTACAAAAACTATAATACATGTTTTTTGCATTATATTTTATAAACTCGTGATATTTAATTCGGTAAATTTTTTTATATTTTATTAAGAACCGCCTGCATCTTGATCTTGAGAAAGAAAATTAAATGGGTCAAATTTTGTGGGTGCTCTTTTGTCTCTTCCACTTATCAATTCGATGCACAATCAAAATTCAAATTTGGGTGACGTACAATATTAATTGATTTTGCCAATTATATATGTATATACCGAGGTATATAATTCTGTATTCTTATTTCTTGTTTCTTTGAGCTCCCCTGTGTTGTTGGGTACTGATAGTTTAATTAAAACCCTACCCTTCTCGTTAATTTTAGTTTGGTGTGTATAATTAATAGAATAATTGATTTAGATTAACACATTAATATCAAATTATATATCCCTCCTGAATTCCATCAATTTGTCAGAAATTAAAAATTAGTCACCCAATTAAATTAAACTGAAAGGAAGCTGCTAAAGTTCAATCCAAGATACTTTTATGTCAAGCCAGTCGACAACAATAAATCCGACACATCAGGCAGGTGCAGGCCACCTTCATTATCTGTATAAATACATATACATATACCGATCAACACTGTAATCACTTATATGTAAACTAATTGTTCTGCAAACATAATTATTTCTTAATCTTGTATCCATGCATCATGTTTTGTACGCACCCTTAACAAAAAATATTAGTTTAGGCTAGTGATGAATGGCTTCTCTTCCTGTTTGTCTGTCACCTGTCCTGTACTTACCACTACAAACATAAAAAGTAAAGTAAGCTAATAAAAAACACGAACCCACAAATAAAAAAAATAAATTTAATTAACAAAAAAGAGAATGACTAGTGTTGTTTAAGACAATTTTAGATGGAGCTTTCACTTTAATTAATTAATTAATTTCCTCGTCTAATTGGGTTCAGTACCTTAATTAATTTAAAAACTGGTACTTGGTTTGGAGGAGTTGTTATAGTTTAATGTATTAAATTATGCAATTATTTAAAATGTAATTTAATAATGAAAAATATGCAATGTTTGATTAGGGTGATTAATTAAGTTAAATATATTTGTAAAATACATTTAAGTTAAATATTTGTTTATTGAAATTAAAGAGATGGTCGGTGTCCTGTCGAAAACCACTGGTTGATGAAAACTAGTGGCGGAGGAAATCAGAACTGACGAACTTTTCCTGCTCGGTAGGGGACGCTACATCGCAGACCATTCAGGTCTGGAGTTTCTGGGAAAATTAATAGGTCTAGGTCAAGGTCAGCACCGCAATTTTTTATTATCTTTAATACGTATAATTACGTTTTTAATTAATTATCTTGTAAAATTAGCTATTTAATTTATATTATTTTTTATTTTAATTCTTAGTACATACAGTCTTATATTTTATTTGTAATTACTGAGTTGGAATCTATCTTGACATAATAAAACCTTTATTGTTATTAGTATATCGTTGAAGTTGTAATGACTAAATTATGATAAATCTCAACGAATTTATTTTAATTATTATGAATATTAAAAATATTTTGTGTTGATTATATTTCTTTAATTAGGACATTCACAACTGAATTTAAACACAACATAACTATTTATTTTTCAAATATATATAATATTTTTACGTTGTTGAAAATAATTAAAATCTTATTACATAATATTTTAAAATATTTTGTCATTTATTTCCAAATTTCAAAGTTATAAAACTCAAAAACCAAATTTAAAATTGGCAAAAATACGGGAGAAATTTGTAGAGAAACTTTTCAAACTCAACGTGTGGAAGTGAGACTCTTGATTTTCTTGTTGTCTTTCTAAATTTACTCTGATGTACCATTAAAACACAAATTAATTTAACCCACAAAATAAATGCTTATGGCAAGCAAGCAAACATTCTTTACTCGTGCTTTTAGTATGATATATGTATTTCTTTTTGAAAAAAAATTAAAATAAAAAAAGGTAGGGAAGAAAATGTAAGAACAATTGACATTGTTGATGGAGAAATTACGAGCACTGACGAGAAGCATAGAAAGTTTTTTCACTTGTTTTTTAAGAATTCACTACTCTCTTTTTGGTCATCATTGAATCAAGTGTGGAATACATAAATTAATACATGTACTTTTGAAATTTCCTTACCTGTTTATTATGTCTGTAAGTATTTATTTCTTAAAATATAATACTTAGTATTCTGTGCTATAAAAATATATAAAACATTTACACACGACTAAAACTTACTGTTCAATATAAATAAAAAGAATAGATAATCATTGGATTAAAGTTTTGTTTAGCTTATACTATAAGTATGTAATTAACATATTTCTTGATAAGAATTAACAGAACTTCACAGGCTGCAGATCCCCAACTAAAAAATAAATCTGATAATTCGGGCTGGGAGAGGCCCAATACTCCTTGTATGATATTCGTGGACCGTGGCGTTTATTCTTTACGTATTTTTAACGCTGTATATTCATATGTTATTAATTAATTAGTCCAAATATGTACGTATATATTTGTATTATGTATCATGTATTTTAAATATGTGTTTGTCCAGGCCCAACCCACAATCATTTAAAAAGTGGGCCGAGCAGAATCTAATAGAGGATCCAATTGCCTTTAACATCAAGAAAATCATTCTTTATTACCTTTTTCCAATCTATTATAATAAAATTTATAATTTTATCTTTGATTCCCAGCTGAATTAATTAGATTAAAATTATTATAAGTTATTAATATATGGATGGCACATGTAACTAAATCAACTTATATATTATATCAAAAATACTATTCTAATTCAAACTTTACCATTCATATAATTAATTTTAATTTTTTTTTAGTATATGAAAGCTACATTATTCTATATAATAAAATGTAAACTGAAATAAAATATTAATTTATAATCATTCTCTCGAGGGCAAATAAATACTTGCTAGCCAAGCAAAAAACCACCGACCTTTCTTCTATAACGCTAACACACACCCAACTATAAACCTGTCCTTGTTGTTGTCCACGTTCTCCGACGACGAGCTCGTACCCGGACCGGATTCTGTGAGAGATGAGTCTCGGCCTACATTTTCTACTGACGAGAAGAATCTCGTCAAGAAGAATGAAAAATACACGAAGCACCTCCAAAAAACCCAAGAAACAAAAGTTTCCGCCCGATAATGGGATGATGGGTGCTAGGTCTTTTATTCTTCCCGTTCGAAGTAAGTACCCATTTTCTGGCTATATCTCCTCTGTGTTTTCGGCTGCCTCCAAGCGATATTAAGAAAGGAAAGAACCATTCTTTTTTCTTTTTCCTGCCTGTGGATCTTTTTGATGCAGAGCTTGTTTTATTCACCATATCCGCAACAAAAAGGGTTACTGTCTTGTTATATGGATCGTGTTCTTGTTCTTCTTTTTTCCTGTTTGGTTACTGGGAAATTGAAAGAAAACTTAAAGGGAAGAAAAGTTTTCCATATACATATATATATGGTTTTCAGGGGTCCTTATTACTTTCTGGGTTCCATTTAAATAACAAAAAAGTTTAATTCTTTTGGCAATTTCATGCCAGTACTGTTCTGCTTTCTTGCGTTTTCATTGGAACGACTGTATTTATGAATTCATGGGTTTTTTTTTATTGACTATTAACTGCCGTGAATGGCAATGTCTATGGCTCAGCTGAGATTAAAATCCACGGAGACCAGCAAATAAGTGCCGAGGCTAATGGTTCGGAAACTGGGTATGGACCTGGTAACCGTTGTCGGTGCTGTTTCAGATCATGCAATGGCCATCGGGGAAATCATAATGGTAGGGACCATCTAAGTAACAGCGGTGAAGCTTATAATGAAGCAAGTGAGAGAGGCACCAGAGGAACCATGAAAGGTCAATTGGTAATGAACAGACTGGGTGCAATGGTCTTGCTGGAAATGCAACAGTTACTGATGATGGTGATGGTTGAGGGGAAATAAGATACAGGCGCCATCGAGGACTCAATCGTATGAATCGCATATGTGAATGGAGGCCAAGAAATTACAATTATGCTGAAAGGTAAAATTCTTCTTTATCCTCATAATAGATCAGGCTGTAGAAATTTGTTGGATTCTCTTGTAACTAATATTCCTTTAACAAATTAATAGAATTAATTAGATTTTGCTATCTGTTAACTATAATCAAAATCTTTGAATAATGGTGTGATGGTTGGAAGTTTTCATACTTTCTCCGTTGTCAGCTTGCAAACAATGTTGTGACTAGTGATGGATTAACCTGCCAAGTTCTTTTATATTTCTAGTTGATCATGGAGATTAGGAGGAACTTCTTTTAATCATTTCTGTAATTCTATCTACTCTTTGTTTATATAACATTAAAATTTTATCCTCCAAAACTTAGTTGCTTTCCAAGTTGTTTCTAAAAATTCCATAAATGTACAGCACCATTTTGGGATATCAAGGCATTGTGTTTTAGAGTTTTGTGATGAAACTATTTGAAGGAAAACAATACCTTTGAAGGAGATCTGTGTTTGCTAGCTTTCATGAGAAGTAGGATTAATGATTTCCCATAACTTATCTGATCTACCGGAGAATGCCTGTCGTTAAGCCTAAATCGGACAGCAGGAAGCTTGAAGTAAAGAATAATACTGAAGCTAAGGTAGAGTTAGTGGCAATTGAAAGCTGTTTGCAGCATTTTATGATTCATACAATGTACTAAACCCAGCATATTTCTCATTGTTTGCAGCAAATGACACTTAAAAGAGTATGAAGATTCTATCAAGAGGAAGTCGCCATCTTCAGAAAAGGGTGTGGAGAGAAAAGTTGACCACAAGCATTTTGAATCAATGCAGATTATTGGGAAAAAGAGAGAGGAGCATGTGTTAATCAAAGAAGTTAGTGAAGGAGTTGACAATTAACTCAGGATATGCACCATGTTTTGTCTTATGAAACTGAACTCCTATATTCTGTTCGTGATTTACTTTCAGAAACTGGACATGCTTAAGAGGAAAAATAGCCTTGAGAGGAGAAATTTCGCAAGGTAATGAATATTAATGGTTATTTCATTAACAATAGATAAGTTGACAGGTCTGAAGATGAAGCAGTTTTGTGTTTTTCAGTCAATGAACAGCAACGAGTTCTTCAGACCTGGCTCGGAAAGAGGGAGAGGTCTTACAGGAGCAGTAGGAGCACTGATGAGAGACTCTGTAAACTGTACTGGTGGTAAAGGCAATAGATATAGACTTAACAAACGCCATGACTGCTGTCAAGCTGGTGATGCTCTCAAGTTTGAGGATCCCAGCAAGTTTCCTGTTTGTATGCAGTCTAATACCACTGAAAACGTTGTAAAGGCCAAAAGAGTATCAGATCAGATATGGATTTGTTGAAGGAAACATCCTACAAGCTTTTTTGCAAATTGTTCCAACTAAGATGGTCTTTTTTGTTTTCCCAAAAATCTGGATCCTTGAGTTTTTATGAAATTCACGAAATGGTATTTTTAGTTTAAATAACATTTATTTGAATATTAATTTTACATAAGTGTATGTTATTGTTAATGTTTTAAAAGAATTATAACAAAAGTTTAAATATTATTGTATTTTAAAAGTAAACTTGAAATTTTATATTTCATTCTTCAATCCAATGTATCAATTCAATTTGAACCGTTGGAACTCCCTGGCGAAGACTGACGAGGTTTTTGTTTACTTGAAGGCTTCTGCTAATTTCAGGTCGTAGAGCTTTGTTTATTTTGGAATTATATATCTGAAATTTGTGGAGAAAAATACATAATGAATTTGCAATATTGAATTGAACGAAAGATTTTCAAGTAGAATAAAATAAAATCTAAACTAAACTAAGATGGCGAATTAAGAAATATATATGTATATATGTACAATTAAATTAAGAACATAATTATTGAAAAATCATTTTCTCTTTTTGTGTTTGGAGGGATTTAATTATGTAAAAAAATAAATCATATAAAGAATGTATATAAGAAGCATGAAACATCCAAAACTTTATCTTGAGTTAATTTGACAAGAAAAATTGCAAATTAATCCCCAAAATTATTATTAAGGAAAATTGCAATTAGCATTATTTTGCATTAAAAATAAATTTTTTTAGAACAAAACTTTTCATAAAATGAAAACTAAATCCTGAATCGTAATCCAATTAACATGATGAACCCCTCACGCTTTCCTCACCCTTCCCTCCATGAAGAGCCAAACCCAACGATCTTGGCCCCACCACCCCCCCCCCCCCCCTCATGTCACTTCACTTCCCCTCTTTCTATTTTCACTTCCTTTCATCCCCATCAAATCACATCCGTCCACGTCACCTCGAATAATCCACCGCTGCCGTTGGATATGCTCCCACTCGGGTTTTATCCGGTATATCCTTTTTCTTTTCTCTTTAATTAAACTCCCCAGGTTTGACTATTGCCACGTCTCAAGAATATTCCATATCAAAATACCTCTGCGCCCCCGGGACTCTCTTTCCCAAAATTAAAAATCCTCTTTATAAAAGCCTAATCCTTTTCCTCCATCCCACTCCCCCGAGATATACCCACTAAATAATATTTATATTATTCTTCCAAACAGGAAATGGCAGGTCTTCCCAGACCCAAGAGAGTCACCGACCCTCTTCGCGACAAGGTTAGGGCACAGCTCTTCGGCGGTCACCACCTCAGCTACGGAAGCAGCGGCAGCGAACACTCAGCCGAAGATGACTCCCCTTGTCTTTCCGAGCTCGTTCATGGCTTCCTTGAGGACGATCCCAGGGCTGAGCCCTCCGGCTACGACTCTGGCTCCGACAAAATTGATTCCACCGTCGACTTTACGGAGCTGATCCAGGAAGTTGAGAGATTCGTAGCCACAAGCAATGTCGATCCGTACAGGAACCTGCTCTGGAAACACATCTCCAAGGCGACGGAAATGTTTGCGTGTTTCAGATCACAACCACCCATTTTCAGGCGGAATTTGATGTTGTTTCTTCGCGAAATGGGCCACAATGCGGCGATCTGCAAGACTAAGTGGGACTCCTCGGGCGGGCTTACCGCCGGAAACTACGAGTTTGTCGATGTCGTCTACTCCCGCGGCGCCGCATGTCAGGTTCGTTACTTCGTGGAGGTGGACTTCGCATCGGAGTTCGAGATTGCTAGGCCGACGGATGAGTATCCTCGTCTCTTGCAGGCGCTTCCCAGGGTTTTTGTGGCGACGAGCGAGGAGCTGAAGAGGATCGTGCGGATCATGAGCGACGCAGCTAGGAGATCGCTCAAGAGCAGAGGCCTGTCTCAGCCTCCGTGGAGGAAGAACCGTTACATGCAGAATAAGTGGTTGGGTCCGTACAGACGAACTTCCAGTGCCACTCCTGCATCCTCTTTCACCCCGTCAATCCCCGCCGTAAACGCCGTTAAATGCAGATCGGTAGGGTTCGACGACGCCGTCAACGGCCATCATTTTGTCCGTACTAGATGAGTCCACGACGGAGATTTCAAGTCTTCATTTAAAAAAAAAAAAAAAAAAGGATTGTCGCTCTTTTATTTTTTCTTTGTTTCATAAATATAATAATTTTAAAAAAGAAAACGGGAGAGAAGTGAGATAAATTGGATAAAAGGAATAGTGCTACGCGGCAAATGCACAATGTGCACATGGCGGGCGCATTATAGGATGTATCATATACATGCAGCAAAATCAGATATTAAAGAAATGTTGGCCACTTGATTTCACCAACGATTATATTAAGCTCCAATCAAACGGCTAGAAATTGACTGCGTAAATAGCAAAACCTACAGACTAACAGCAGGAAGAATTAGCTTCGTTTTATAGAGGAGACACCAGAAAAGTGATGACGTGGCAAACCTATGTCATCTAGTGAGGGGGAAGGATGTGACGTGGCGATAGATAAAGGATATAGGGACTTGACATTAAACATAGGAAGAGGGTCGTCGTGTAGTTGATAGGTGGACCCAACCCCCGAAATAATGAGGGGGAGACGTGGAAAACGGAGTGCGAGTTTTGGATAAGGTTTTTATATTTAAAATGATTTAAAGAGACAAGATAAGGGGGGAAAGTAATTATGGTGGGAGTGAGTTTTGTCCTTTGGGGTAAAGGAGTGGTGAAGTGGCCCAATAGAAAGCGGGCAGTCGTCAAGTACCAGATTGGGATGTGTTTGGTTTTAATTACAACGACAGGCTTCTCAAAACGGTGTGTTTCATGAGTCACTTGTCAACTTTTTTTAAAATCTAACTTGATGATTCATCCATTTGATTTCTTCAAGGACATGATTTATGTTGCTAAGCATAAATAATAACAACTTTGAATATTGCATCATGTGGAGTGGATTAGGCTGGTTAAAAATTAATCCCAATTTGGATTTTGAATAACTATGTAATTGTAAATGGTAATTAGACTAATACATCAGGCTTTTTTTTTATTATTTTCCATTGAATATTACATAATTCTATCTATCTATGTGCTAAATCTGATTTTTTTCTCACCCTTAGAAATTTATCACCTAATTCTCACTTTTGATGCCCCTTTAGCATAATTGAGTTGAATGTTCCTCCTGTAACATATACTAAAATATAAAAAAAAAATTTCAAAAAAATATGTTGTTAGCAAGTATCCCAATCGTAATAAAAACAAGGAGCATGATCGGATCCGTAGATCCTAACGGGTCCCCCACAAAAATCCAAAGTATTGTGATGGAGCATGATCGGATCAACAACACGTGCACCACAGAACTAGCCTCACTTATCCACCAAAAACAGAAGAATTGCTCCACTCCACCGCAGTAGCTCCCCGCAACGGAAGTGACCATGATCCTTATTCTTTTAAATTTTCATGCAATAAATGTAGGACTTTATCATTATCATGTAATCGCTTGTTGGCTATTTAAAGCTTACAATATTAGATGGAATGTAGGTAAAAATTTTAACTTAGATTCTGGTTTCTTTTTCACCTTAAGTAGAAAGTATCTTCATGTTTTTTTTTCTTCAAGCTTTGATTGGGACCAAACATTGGTATCAAAGCAAGTTACTATGTTGACCAACAAGGAACGGATTGAGAATTTGGAGGCTAGCCTCGGAGGAATGCAAGATCATTTAAGCTGAATGAAAATCAGAATGGTCGACTGATTTCGGGCGCTTGAAGAATTCATCTAACGACTCACCAACTCCATCGCATTTGGCAGAGAGGACTCTAGTAGTTGCCACCCCTTTCTTCCCAGCTCGCCTCCTGCCAACCACGATGCAAATCCACCACTTGAAGAGAACAACAGCAATTCATTCTATTTCAAAATCTCCAAGCTAGAGTTCCCGGTCTTCGAGGGGCAACCTAACTGAATGGTTGTGTCAGGTCAGCCAATTCTTCTCCTATCAAGGCACCACCTAGCAACACAAAGTGTCTCTAACAGCCTACCACCTGGAAGGAGAGGCCAATCAGTGGTGGTAATGGCTGAACCAAAATTATAAAGAAGAGGGAAGAGAACTCACCTGGACTGGGTTTGAAGAGGAGATGTGGGCACGATTCAGACCGATCGAGTTTGAAGACTTTGATGAGGCTCTAGCCCACATCTGTCAGACCAGGCTACTCTGTGATTACCAGAGGGGGTTCAAAAAATTGGGCAACAAAGTCCATGGGTGGCCTCAACGGACCCTAGTTGGAGCCTTTATTGGTGGGCTCAAGCCCGAGATAGCGGATGAGATTCGGATGTTTAAGCCCAAGACATTTAGAGATGCTATGGGCCTGGCCCAAATGCAGAAAGAGCAAGTGGGTCAACAAAACTTACTAACCCGACCCGAGAGAGCCGAACCAGCCCAGCACCTGTCATCCTTACCTGATCCTTTTCTACGAACCCTAGTCGCCACGCTCACAGCACCCAAGAGGCTCACTTAAGAAGAAATGCAATGACGGAGATCTCAAGGGTTGTGCTTCAACTGTGACTAGCACTTCACGACTAGCCACCGTTGTCGCAAACCGTAGCTCTTGCTACTTGAAGGATGCAGCGAAGAAGACAAAGAAACAGATGGTCCTGAGCCCAAAATCTCCTTATACACCTTTAAGGGTTGGACACCAGCTCACACCATGCGAGTCCCCGCCACCATCGGACATCAGGAAGTAGTCATTATCATCGATAGCAGCTCCACGCACAATTTCATTTGTGAAAAGGTAGCAAGCCAATTATGGCTTTCGGTCGTTCCAACAACCTCGTTTTTAGTGAATGTGGCCAACGACAACACCCTGAAGCGCCAAGGATGGTTTGACAACGTTCTCTTATAAATC